AAAGCCGAGGAAAGGTGGGTTCGGTCCCTGTGTGTGTTGAGGGGTGTCCATTTCCCTTCCTCCCTAGTGAGCACCCCATGTACAGAGGGCAAAGTTCTGGGAAATAAGCTCAGCAGGTCAGCCCAGCTGGGGACAACTTTCCTGCCACCAGCAACTCTGTATGTCACCAAGGGGGATCTCAGGGTCCCACTGAGCCTCCTGCTGGTGTGTGAGCCTCCTAACAAGGGGTCTCGTCGGTGGAAATTCCACCCCAGAGTGACTAGGTGAGGTTACAACTCAGGTTCCCAACAAGCTCTAGGGGACCCTCACCTCTAGGTCACCAGGCCCCAACTTGTAGCTGGGGCTCACAGTGGAGCTGCCGGCTGCCAGTGCCTGCCTGCTGGACTGCAGGGAGGGGTGTGAGATGTCCTGGGATTCTATCCACACGTGGGGAGGGGGGCAGGTAGTGAGTCAGCGGGTCACCACAGGAGAACATGAAACTTGAGTGTCAGGAATTACATAGAGGGCCAGGCTCGGTGGCTCAGGCCTGTGATCCCAACACTCTGGGAGGCTGAGGCAAGTGGATTGCTTGAGCTCAGGAGTTTGAGACCAGCCTGAGCAAGAGTGAGACCTTTGTCTCTTCAGGCATTGTGGTGGGTGCCTGTCGTCCCAGCTTCTTGAGAGGCTGAGGCAAGAGGATTGCTTGAGCCCAAGAGTTTGAGGTTGCTGTGAGCTATGACACTACAGTACTTTATCCAAGGTGACAGAGGGTGATTCGGTCTCAAAAAAAGAAAAAAAAGAATTATATAGAGACAGGTACAGTGACTCAAACCTGTAATCTCAGCACTTCAGAAGGCCGAGGTAGGAGGATCTCTTAAGGCCAGGAGTTGGAGACCTGCCTGGGCAACATAATATCTACAGAAAAAAAAAAAATTATCCTGTCATGGCGGTGGGCACCTATGGTCCCAGCTGCTCGGGAGGCTGAGCCAGGAGGATCACTTAAACCTAGGAGCTCAAAGTTACAGTGAGCTATGTTGATGCCACTATATTCCAGTTTGGGTGACAGAGTAAGACACTGTCTCTTCAATTAAAGAAGAAGGTGGACGTGGGCCGGCCGGAAAGAGTGTTTCTGT